TAAAAAGGAGAGGAAAAAAATTCAAAAAAATTAGAAGGATATAAAAACAAAGAGATAGAGAATATTAGAACCAACTAAAAAATGAAAGTAAAAATTAAAATATACGGAGATGGGTTATACATATAAAAATTAGGTAGAGAAGCTCAATCAGGATGAGGGAAAAAAACAAGGTCATAACAACAGAGGAGTAAGCTCCAAGGCGGCCCTTGAAGATACAAGACAATCTACTGCTAGAAATGCACATCCGGCTAGAAGCCCATGCGACGCTTGACCTCCTACATGACATCGTCCTCGACGCTAGAGAGCGGCTGGTTGAGCCACGTGAAGAGGAACAGGGCCAGCGCAGACGTCATCAGGGGCGGGTAGTAGTACTCCCAGTCCTCCTTCTTCCTCTTCTCGCCGGGAGGTGGTGGCTGTGGGACAAGGGCGAGGGGCGCGGAGCGGTTAGCCGCTGCAAACGCAGCGCCGCCCCGGGGGGATGGCCACGAACGAGGCGCGTTCAGGGCATATCAGGCGAGGCGCGTGCAGCGCGCACCACTTCGCCGAACAGGAAGCCGTTGTGCTCCTCGGCGAGCTTCTCGAGGTGCTCGGTCTGCTCGGGCGTGCGGGCCGGGACGCCCGACGCCAACCGAAGCCCCGCCGGCCGCAGCGACGAGGCCCTGAGGCTTTTGGCGCCGCGCGCTAGCATGGGCGAGCGCGGCGCTTGGAGCAGCGCAGCCCAAAAGAATTCGCTCCTGCGGGCGGGCTCGCGCACCGAATCCCGCAGGACGAGGCAGAAGAGAACGACGCGACAGAGGAGGAAGTGACAAGGGAGAGAACGACGAGGGTGGGACGACCGCGAGGTGGCATGAAGGTTGCAGCGAGAATCGGCGAGAGACTGCGAAGAGAGATAGGAAGAGGCAGACTCCCTAGGGTGGGCGACGGATAGCGCACCACACACCTCTCCTTAAAATCCCTGTGTGGTGGCGGCGTGCCGTCCTCCCATCCCTCCCTTGGGTTGTCTGTTTTCTTTCTTTCTTTTACCGAATCCCTCTGGTGGCGGCGTGCCGTCCTCCCATCCCTCCATTATCTGTTTTCTTTCTTTCTTTTTTCGCGCACCGAATGGAGCGCCACCTCGTGATCTAACCCGCCACCCCCCTCGCCTCGTCACCCTCCCGCCGCCTCCCTCGCCTGCTGCCGCCCCCCTCTCAGCCGTTTGCCCCGCCGCTCTGCCGTTCTGCCGCCGTGCCGCCGCTTCCACCTCCACCCCTCGCCCTCTCCCCCGCCCTACCGAACCACCCGCCGCCCGCCCATGCCGACAGCCCAGCCCTCCGCCCTCCGCCCTCGCCCTCCGGTCTTTGCCCTGGCCCCACCTCTCCCATGCCGCCCCCCCGCCCTCCACCTCGCCCACCCCTTTGCCGCCATCCTCTCCTTCTCCGCCCCTCGCCCCCACCGCCCTCCACCTCCACCCCTCGCCCTCCCCCCCGCCCTACCGAACCACCCACCGCCCGCCCGTGCCGACCTCCGTCCTCCCGCCGCCCTCCCCCCCCTTCCCGCCCCTCCGCCTTCGCCATCCCCCACCTGTGCATTCCACTCCGTCCGCTCCCTCCCGCTTGGCGCCCATCCCGCCCTCCGCCCTCGCCCTCCGCCCATCCCGCCCTCCGCCCTCGCTCTCCGCCCCTGCCCTGGCTGGCCTGGGGGGCATCTCCTCATTATCACGCGCCGAGCGGGAGGGAAGTGGACGGGGCCCTGAGCCGACCTAGCCCTAAACGGAATGGGGCGCCCAACACGTGCCGGATTACTGTGCCTTCCCCGGGCACAGCCTTTCGGTTCGTGAAGGGTCGGTGCGTGTCGTGACCCCCTGGAACAACCGTGCGCTCCCGCACCATCTCCGTTGCTTGGTTTTCTAACTTTGCCACCCGGCGGGAGGCGGCCAGGGCTCATAGACTCGGTCGAGAGACCCCAGATTGGCATCCATGCCTCTCTGGACAGGGTGGCCCGCCACAAGGACCCCAGGAATTGCGACTCGCCGCTTTCCTCCCGCTGTGATTCTGTGTGAGCTCTGTGTCTTGATTTGCCAACAATATACCTAACCTCGGCAGGCGCCGCGCGGAGGCTATTTTGTGAGGGCTTACTTTTGGGTGGCGCCCCGCACGGGCCACGGCGCGTTCATCGCCTCTCCGGGGTACTCTCGCGTTTTGTCGCGCTCGTGCAGGGGGAACCCGACGGAACTCCCGCCCCCACCTGCGCCCTCTTCGCAGTCCCTCGCCGATTCGCTGCAACCTTCATGCCACCTCGCGGTCGTCCCACTCTCGTTCTCGCCTCTGGCTAGCCTCTCCTGTCCGCTACATCCTTCGTCTCGTCGCTCTCCTCTCAAAAAAAAATTTACAACCCAAGCCGGCGCCCAGGAGATGGGTAAAAAGGAGCAGGTCCTATGCGGTCTTTGTGGAGCTATCGCTCTTACACAGTCTCACACACTGGGCGGCCATGGGGCTGGACACTGGCACCGCCACCGGAGTTGCAGCCCACGCGCCTAACGCGTATACGACGGAAAGAGCGAC